AAAGAGAGAGAGAGAGAGACATAGAAACAGAGATAGAGTGAGGGAGGGAATGACTGCGACTCTTGTGTTTCGGATATTGGACTCTTGTCTAGCAGAAGCGTGATAAATTGGTAATTATTAGCAGTCTTCAAATGAAGATCTCAAAATTTGAAGCTTCCTCAATCAGAAATAAGTCTAGAAGATTGTTTCAGGCGAATCTTTTCCTGTTGTAGACTCTGCAAAGTCTAACTACGAATTGGGGCGTGGTGAATTGCATTAAATAAATATTCCAATAATTTAAGTTATTTTTATTTTATTTTAATTTAATTTAATTTTTATTTGATTTTATTTTAATTTTATTTGGTTTTATTTAAATTTTTGTTTTGTTTTTTTTTTTTTTAATTTTGATTTTATTTTGATTTTATTTTTATTTATTATTTTTATTTTTAGCTTATTTTTATTTTATTTTTTATTTTTATTTTATATTTATTTTATAATTATTTTTTTTTTTATTTTTTATTTTATAATTATTTTTTTATTTTTTTTTTTATTTTACTCTATTTTTATTTCTTATTATTTTTATTTTTTTTTTTGTATTTTTATTTTTATCTTTTTCTTTAATTTTCTAATTATTTATTTATTTATTTTATTTATTTATTTTTTGTTTATTTTTTTTTATTTCTTTATTTATTTTCGGTTTGTGAACGAGCATTAAACAGTCACCTAAGCCCAACTCACTTTGGTTATTTTGCTTTGACTTTGGCTTTTGACATGTTAATTTACTTTTTTTTTGTATTTTTTTTGGGCGTTTTCTATGCAGCTTGAAAGTTTGACATTTTAATCGAATTTATTATATATTTCTAATTTGCATTTAAATATATATATTTTTAGTATTTTTTTGCTGTTGCTTCCATTTTGCTTTCATTTAGTTTGGTCAAAGATTTCAGCGCGTTGTCACGTTGTGCAAATAAAAATTTGTTGCTCTGATTTTTGCTGTCAATTTGTTTGGCTTAGTTATCAGCACAGATATAAATACATATATGTATATACACACACATACCTATCCACTTGACTGAGCTTTAAGTGGAACACGACAATTGACAATTTACATAAGCTCCATGCATATATGAAATGAATGATATATGTATGTATATTAATAGAAAAAGTGATATAGATTGCGGCTTGGTTGTGATAGATATGATAGAGGTTTATATTCATAAATTTATATATCTATATGATAACTGGAACAGGCCGTAGGGGTAAATATCTTAGTAGTTGCAAAATAACTTTGCTAAAATGCAGTTTGCTGTTCTCCTTAGCTGGCAGTTGAGTTGCTGTGTCTAAGTGTTGAAAACTTTTAGATATATTGTATATGGTACAGACTATCTGTATTTTACTTTAAAACTTTTACAACTTTGTCATAATGCAGTTGTTTTTAGTCCTTGGCTGGCGTTCGGCACACTTTTAGTATTTTTGCTTGAGCTGAACTTTTTATTATATTAAATTTGTATTTATATATGTATGTGTTTAGAATTTATTTTTCTATATTAAATATATTCAATTTATAACAAATTAATTTAATTTTTGGAAATTTGGTTTGTTTTATTATTTTCAATTTTATTTAAATTTTTTCTATTGGTCTCGTTAATTTTTTATGGTTATGTTTTTTATTTATTTATTGTTATATTTTTATTTATTTATTGTTTTTATTTTTTTTTTATTTATTGTTTTTATTTTTTTATTTTTTTTATACATATTTATGTTTTAATTTATATAGTCTTTAAGTGTATTTTAATAGTTTTTTTTATTTTAATTATTATTTTTTTTTGTATACACTTTTTACTTTAATTACTTATTTTTCTTTGTATATATCTGTTATATATTTTTAAATAATTTGTTTGCATATTTGTTGTGCGTTTTTATAGGTGTGTTTTTATATTTTTAAAAATATATATTTAAAAATAGCTTACAGAAATATATGAAGCTCTACTAAAAAGTCTGTAAACTTTATCTGGAAACCTACCCAACTTTAGCTTAAGTCGCCATTCGATATGGCCTAAACTATTCATAAAGCTACCACACTCAAAAGACACACACACACACACACTCACACATATATAAATGTAGGTGCTTTGTCATAAATTGTATTAAGTTATGCACACGCCCCCTTGCCAGGCCGCCCATATTGATGCTGTGTCCAAATGTACAGAATTTATTTAAGAATATTTTGTTGTTGTTGTCAGCCGTATTTGTGTTGTGGATTTCGAGGGGTATTCAAGCGAGAATAACAACATACAGTGGAGCCACAAAAATGACAACAACAACAACAACAAAACAATGGAACCCAAACAACTTTCGCGAAAACTCGTTTTCCACGCGTTCGCATAAAATATTAAAAAATAAAAAAAAAATACAACATTGTTGTTGACTTTTGTTGTTGTTGTTGTTGTTGCCGCCCTTGTCGCTTATTGCCGTGGCCTGCGCTGCACCATGGAGCAGCTGCCGTTGCTAACTTTGGCTCCCTCCAAAAAGTCGAAAGCCAAAAACTGGTTTCATTCTCCTTCTCTTCTTCTTCATTTTGCGCACACACCTTAAAGAGTGAGGGAGAGAGCTAAAACGCCGTAAGCTGTAAAAAATTTAAGCAGATTTTTCTCAGCTTAAATTTTCTTCAGCTTCAGTTTCAGTATTTTCCTTAAGCTTCAGCTGCTGCTGGAAAAATTCTCGCTATTTTCTCTGGCGCCATTTAAATGTGGCTGCATTTCCGTTTACTTATTTTGTTTTGTTTTTCCTTTTCTTTTCTGCGGTTGCCTTCGGGCTGTGCCGCACAATGTTGCACGTTGCATGTCATTCACGTGCAACAGCTTCAATCCGAGTGTTTTTTCTCTCTCCCAGCTTGACACACATTCTCTACCCCCCTCTACCCCTCTCTCTCTATCTCTCTCTCTCTCTCTCTGCCTCTCTCTGTATGTCTCCCGCTCGTTATGCAACTGAAATCAAGCATGAAAAGCTGCTTCAACAATTGACCACAATTGGGACGGGCCGACAGCAGCTTGGCCCAGTCCGAGCGCCATGCGCCGCGGCTAAAAGGAAGTCAAATAGTTCTTAGCCCATTTGCCACGATTTTGCGGTATTTATAAATACGCTGCCGCAGTCGAGCAGCTACAACAACTTGGCCACTGAAGTTGAAGTTGAGAGCAGAGGAAATTCAATTAAATCCGTGCGAAAAGAAAAGTTTCAATTAAAGTTGTGGAAAAGTGAAAATATTTTTGGGAAATTGCTAAATGAAATATGGTAAAATTATGCTTTAAAAATACAGGAGAATAATACTTAGAGCTTTCTTAAATATGGACATGATTATAAGTGATTCAATATATATATAAACAAAAAAATCAATATAACCTAAAAAAAATAAAAAAAAATAAAACTAAAAAAATAAAAAAGTAAAATAAAAAAATAAAAACTAAAAAAAACACTCAAAAACAAATTAAAAAAAAAAAATAAATAAAATATAGAAAAAAAAAACTCTAAAAAACTAAAAATAAATAAATTAAAACTAAAAATAAATAAATTACAACTAAAAATAAATAAATTACAACTAAAAATAAATAAAAACTAAAAATAAATAAAAACTAAAAATAAATAAAAACTAAAAAAAAATAAATAAAAACTAAAAAAAAATAAATAAAAACTAAAAAAAAAACTAAAATAAAAACTAAAAAATAAACTCTAAAAAAAAAAACTAAAAATTAATGAAAACTCAAAAAAAAAAAAATAAATAAATAAATAATAACTGAAATAAATAAAAACTCAAAAGTAAACAATAAATATGATCTTAAGTTACCTAGATATACCTTTATATATGGATATATGTATATGTATGTTTATATAAATTAAATAGATTTATATAAATTTCGGCTGATATATAAATTAAAATTGGCAAACCTTAAATTATATCCAATTAATGAAATATTTTGGTTTCAATATAAATGAGTCTTATTTACAGGGTATTTTAGCGCTGTGCATTGCAATGCAAAGAGCGAGAGTCTTTCCGAACCATATACAGATTTTTTATTGAATTAGTTTAGAATTTAATGACCAGATAAACTTGATATGCGAAGTTTTTTATGATGTTTTTTATATGTGAAATATACAGCATATTACACCACTATATCTATAGAGCATTTAGAATTCGCTCTTTAGCTGCCATTCTCTAAACTATTTTATGTTGTTTTTATTCTCTTCTTCTGCCTCGTCTTCTGCGCTCTTCTGTTTTGCTCCTCCAGCTATTTGTAGGTAGCCTAATTTCAACGCTTCAATGCTGTTCGTGTGGGTGTGTGTGTGTGTGTGTGTGTGCCCAGCTTATCTTTAGGCAGCATCAGAGTCAACAACAACAACAAATGAGAAACAGCTGCCACAGCAGTTGGAGGGAATTTTGTTTTATTTCTCCTGTGTTTTTTTTTCCTCTGCCACTCCCCCTTTTAGCAATCCGCCCCCTTCTCCAGTCGCATATCTGCAGCGATATTAAGCAGTCGAGGCAATCGTTGGCTTAGCTCCGGCTCTGGTGCGCTCTTAGCCAATTAGATTTGGCTCGCAGTCAAGTGGGCTTTTGGCCATTTGTATGCAGGCGAGGCGATGGCTCTTAATGGCTAACAATAATGGCTTAGAATTTTGATGCAGCAGCTCATGCTGCAGAAAACTTGTTTTGAATTTGTAATTGATTTGTCAAATGATGTTAAAACATCATCATCATTATCATCGTTATCATAATCATCGTTGCATAAAGAAAATGATTTAATGGCATTTTTTTTTAGGCAGCTGTTTTCGCTTTTCAATTTTTGCTTTCAGGCAACATAATAATGTTGCAACTGCAGCATTGCCGCATGCCATGGGGCTGGGGGCGTGGCATGCCGGCCTATTTATGGACAGTTGTTGAGCTGCTTCCGCGCTGCGTTTGTTTTGCTTGACATTTATACACTCATCACTTATCATCTCTCTCTGTCTCTCTCTCTCTCTCGTTGCAGCCAAGAAACAAAATGGCGCCGCCATACGCACAAATAGCCTGGGCTCTGGCACCCGCACCCCGCCCCTGGAGCGTAAAAGCAAATTGAGCGCCCTCGGCCGCTTCTTCAAGCCCTGGAAATGGCGTCGAAAAAAGAAGAGCGAAAAATTCGAAGCTGCATCCAAATGTAAGTTAGAGCAATATTATTATTGGCATTATCATTGTCATTGGCAATTTCATTATCATTAACATGTCATTATCATTGTCATTAGCATTATCATTATTATTGTCATCAGTATTATTGTCATTAACATTGTCATGAGCATTATCATTATCATTGTCATCAGTATTATTGTCATTAACATTGTCATGAACATTGCCATGATCATTGTCATTATTATTGTTATTGTCTTTGTCATTAACATTGGCATTACTATTGCCCTTGTCATGAATATTATTGGGAATATTATCATTATTATTGTCGTTGTAATTAACATAATGCCTCTCATTACCATTATTATCATTGTCACTATTCTTGATTCTCATTGTCATTGGCAGTATTATTGTAAATGTCATGATTGGCATAAGCATTAGCATTATCATTATCATTGTTATTGTCATTGTCATTGGCATAGTTATTATAGGTTTCATAATGCTCATATTATTCTATTATTATTATTTCTATTATTACTTTAAATTGTATCATTCTTGTTATTTTTATTATTCTTGTTATTTTTACTTCTTCTTCTTCTTCTTCTTCTTATTTTTATTTAAATATTTGCATCTATTTGCTTTACAGCACTGGAGCGCAAGATTTCTGTACGTGCCAATCGCGATGAACTAGTGCAAAAGGGCATTCTGTTGCCAGAGAGCCCGCTGGGCAATATACCAGAACCGGGTGAGTGCTCGCGCCATTAACTAGTCCAAAATCGTAGCTCTCTTGTTGGTATTAGAAGAGATAGAGTGTGAGGAATATGAAAATTTAAATAGAAATTGAATTAAAAATAAAGGGTAACGATTAAAGTAAAGCGAGTAGTCGTAAATCAGAAGGAATTTTTCTGTTATTTTTTCCTCTTTTCAGTTGTCTTCTATTCCTTATTTTTCCCTCCACTTTCTCTTAGTAAAAGTCAGTGTTTTTTCCACGCTTATTCAATATTTTCTTTATCATTAGCCTTAACTGTTCTCCTTTCCATCCTTCACTGTTTTTATCTCTCATAAGACTTTCTCTGTTTACCACATCTCTTTCCTATACGCTTTTGTGTTCGTCCCTTAATTTGTCCTTTTGCAACGTTCCCTTCCTCCATAATTGCAGCTTATCCTTTTGCCTTTAGCTCCACAAACTTTCGCTTTTTCTTTCCCTTATTTCTTTCTACTCCTCCTTCTTTCACTTTTCCTTTCAATTTGTCTTATATTTGCCGTTTTTTCTATTTTATTTTCATTTCCTTATAATTTTACTCATTTTCTGTTTATTTTAACTATTTATTTTATTTTATTTTTTTTTTTTAATTTTATTTTTTTTTACTTAATTAATCTTTTACATTCGATCAATTCCATTGTCGCCTTTCTCTGCGAAATTCATTCAAGTCATGCTGACATTTATAATAAGATGAGTGAGAGTTGACATTGGAGTTAGATATAAGAAGAAGAAGAAATGGGAATCCCTGTTTAAATAAGTAAAGGCAAAGCTCTTACTATAACAAATATTGATAGGGCAAATATTGATATTGACAGGGCATCTTCAAGTCTGTTACGCCCCGTTCGCTTCTCTCAATGCATTTCCAATTAAAGTATTTCAATTCCTTCGCCCAGATTAAGATATTTATCTGCAATTTCTAACTGTTTCTGGCTCAACCTTTGGAATTTATTTTCTATTAAATTCCTAAATCGCTGCGCTACCCGTCGAGCGCAACTTCATTAACTTTGGCCAACTGCGAGCTGCATAACGGTATACATATATATGTATGTGTATATATATATGCCATGTTACTTAGGCGAATCTTTGAAAGCCATATAGCTCACATCTAATCCCCCATTGAGCTTTGTTGTTATGCACAAAACTTTTATAAGTAAAGCCTGGCAAACTGTTTGTATTTTCTCCGTGTTTTTTTTTTTTTTTGGTTTCGGCCAAGCAACTTAAACAGAAACCCGACCACAGGCGCTCAAATGTATCGTTGGCTTTCAGTTTTGGCCTTTGTGCGCTATGACTGACAAACAAAACGGAAATTGGCCATAATCCACGCACGATTTAGCCGATGACGAGGCGGCCCGTTGACTTGGCTTTCAGTCACGACGACGACGGCGACGACGACGGCGACGCTTAGCCAGGTTTCCACTTTGCTAAATTGTTTGTTCAGGGCCGGGGCGGGGCCGAGTCTGTAGCCGTCCGTGGCTCTTGTTTGTTTCCTTCCGCCACAATTCAGTCATGACGAGCCGTCACAGCTCCCCAACGACAATTGCAGATGTACAAAGTGAAATATATGGCAGACACTCCAATCCGTTGTCGCTCTGGCTGTCCATCTGTCTGTCTTTGGGGACGTCGCCAACATTCTGTGTTGTTTGGTAATTAATCAACGGCGGCTAATTGTCAATGCGAAACGTAGAAGACGTCAGCCAGCGAGTCAGAGACGCCAAATGCATTCCAAAGAATGCATTTCCAGCAGAAACACAGCAGAAACTCTCGAACCTACCTCAAGTTTTTATAGCTTAGCCCAGTCAAGCTGTGTGCCGCCGCTCGCTCATAGATGGCGCTGCACGGCGAAAGTTTGCCTTGGAAAAGGTGAAAGCTGAGTTGAATGAAAGAGCTTTTAAGCGAACAGGCAAAAGCTTATCGCATTTATGAATGACTGCAAGCTTTTACAAACTAAATCTCTCACTATCTCACTATCTCCCCCTCTCTCTCTCTCTCTCTCTCTTGTTGCAGGCGAGGAGTCGTACTATAATAGTGGAGCCACTGCGAATGGCTCACTACTCTCAGCCGTCCACAATAATTCCATAAATCAAGCCAACAATTCCATTAATGCCACCACCTATGGCAGCGCCAACAATGCGTTGCTCACACAACAGCAGCAGCAACAGCAACAATTGCAGCAGCAACAGCAACAGCAGCAGCAATTGGTGGGCGGGGGCGTGGCCAGCTCAATATCCGTGCAACAGTTCAATGCAAATTCCATGCTCAATGGCGCCAGCCTCAATCAACAGAATTCCATGGCCAATGGTGGTGGAGGAGGAGGCGGCGGTGGAGATGGCTCCTCGGACACATCCTCATTGAGTGGCGGCGTGCCACACTCGCAGTCGGCACCACAGCAACTGAGCGTGGGTCAGCAGGGGCAGCAGCAGCAGCAGCAACAGCAGCCGCCGCCATTGACGCCGCTCGCTCAGCATCATCAGGCGCTGGCACAGCAGCTGCAGCAGCGATTCGCCATCAGCAATAATAACGGTAAGTCAGCAAACTTCATATTCAAAGTGGGTTGGTGGGAAGGGGGCGTGGGCTGAGAACTTCGACATTTTGATTGTTGCATTTGTAATTTGCAACTATTGTTGGGGGGGAAAAAGGTTCGCCGTAATTGGAAAAGCGGGAAAAACAATTCTTGAAAAGTTTTTGCACAGAATTGAAAAGATTCTGTTGCCTTTGTTGGGCACAATGATGAAGTTTTCAATGGAATTAATATAACAACAAAGTGTATTGTTATTGTTTATATTGTGATAAATGTTATTAAATTTTTAAAGCTTTATGTTGAATAATGAAGAAAATTTTGCATATATTTTATCTTTTATGTCCAACTTTAAAGTATAGCGGAACTACTTATAAAACATATAAATAACTGGGAAAACCCAATTACATTCCGTCTCCTCGGACAGATTTGTTGCCACCCGCGAGCATTGCATACTTTGGGGCTGCCACGAATAGCCATAAATACCGTTGCCTACTTCCAAGTGCTGTGCCAAAACTCAATTTCACACAGACAACAACAGACCGAGTCGTAAATATGACGCGCTTTAAGCCAATTTAAGTCGAGTTAACGCGCAGTTAAGCTGTGCCCTCTCCCTCTCTCACTCCCTCGCTCACTCGCTTGCCCTTTCAACTTGCAAAATCACATGTATTTATTTTGCCGTTATTCCCGACTACCGCAACTGTCGTTGTTCTAGTTGTTGTCGTTGTCAGCAATTGCGGCAGTTTGCCAAAAAGTCAGATAAAATGTTAAACAAAACCCAAGCAAATGCTTTGTTGGATGAAGAGCGGGAAGGGGAAGCTTTGCGGATAGTCGTGGCTATTTTGAATGGTAAACAAAACGGCTTTTTTGGCGTGCTTTTGCACTTGTCATTTATGTATTCTAACTCACCGTAAGTTCATACTATCTCCCTCTCACTCGCGCATTCATAATGAGCATGCAAACATATATTTGATGACTGTCGAAAAAAAAATTCTTCAGTGCGCTTGAAGCTTTACGGCATTGCGTTTCGTGTTTGTTTTGTATTTGATGCTGCTGCCGGGGCGACGATTGCAGCCGGCATGTGCGTCGTGCCTGCGTCGTGCTCTCTTCGCCGCCGTCACTGTTGTCGTTGCGGTTGCCGTTGCCATTGCCTTTGCCGCTCTCTCAGCGCGCACGTTTTGTGCTTTTGTTTATTTGGCACTTGTTTCGCTGAGCGCCAGACAGTTGAAGAGAGTTTGAGAGTGTGAGAGAGCGCGAGAGAGAGAGCGCACTCTCTCACTGTTACTTTTTATCATACGCCACTGCGTCGTTTTTGTTGTTGGCTTTTCGGCTAGCTGGACGGCGTCGCATTTTTATGGCAAATCGTATCGCTGCTCGCTGCTCTGTCGGCTCTGTCGTTTCCTATGTTCAGTTAACATTAAAACGCAGTCCGCTAGAGCAGCGTCTGTTTTTGTCGTCGCGTTAGAACTAAATGAAAAGAAAAGAAAAATAAATTAAGAAAACAAATATACATATAAAAAAAAATTACACTGCAAATATGCGCAAATATTTATAATTGTGTTTACTGTGCAAGTCAGATATTTGTTGTAAAGTGTCGTGTCTAACGCGCTCTCTCTCTCTCTCTCGCTCGCCTCTCGTCTACGTATGTGTGCGTGTGTGTGTGAGTGTCTTGTGTACTCGCGTGTGTGTGTGTGCTAAGACAACAATTTTACACGATAAAATATGTAATATTTGATAGCTGCAATATTTATAAGCCATTTAGCTTGGCGCTTTTTGCTTGTGCATAATCCCAAGTTGAAGCTGTTGGCGATATAACGGTTGTTTGGAAGAATTCACATTTTACCGGCTGTGCTACTTATACGAATTAAATTTCGAAACTTTTTCAAAGCTATTAAATTGTTCAGAAAGTTGTTTTATAAACTTAAAATTGCTTCGCAGCTTTGTTCTATGCTTCTTATATTTCAACTATAAAAATAGGTGAAAAAAAAATTAAACTGCATTGTCAGCGCAATGTAAAGAAATGCAATTACATTTGAGCTTTTGTCAGTAACAGCAACAGCGCTGACCACAAAAATAAACCACCCTCGAAAACAAAACAAAGTAAAGGAAAAAAATAACAATAATAATAACAATAAATATATATGTATGTGTATATATAAATAACGTAACAAAAACAAACAATGCGGCAAGCTGAACTAACGGCACAAGCGAAACGTGTTCAAAATATTTCCTCTTGATGTTTTGGTTTGACGAACATCGTCACAAAGCGCAATACAAATATTTCTACTAAAAGGAATTTCTGTGTAAAATGCAACAGCGGTCAGAGTATGAGCGAGAGAGACGCACAGAGGTAGAAGGATAGGCAGGCAGGCTGGCAGGCAAGGCAAGGCAGTCAAAGCAAGGCAACGGCGGCGAATTAAAAGCAGGCACGCAATAGCATTTTTAATATGCATATGTGCGTGTGTGTGTCTGTTTGTTTGAAGTAGTTGGTAGCCTGGTTTTCGTTATGCAGAGTGGAACAGACAGGGAGAGAGGTAGGCGGACGCTAGGCTCTGCTATTTCTTTTTCGAGTTTTGTTTTTTGTTTTTGTGTTTGCTGCAGCGCTCACAGCAAACGAACTTTAATTTGCCGTCATTCTACTTTTGGTCTGGTTTTCGCCGCTGCCTGCTCACATTACACATACGCAGCGGCAGCAAGAGGAAGCAGCAAATTGTTGCCTACCATTGGGCGCGCTCTTTCTCTCTCTCTCTCGCTTGCACTCGCACACATCCTTGCTGCGCGTTGCCTTTTACTTCTGATATTCGCTGCGTTTTGTTCGGCTCTCCGGCAATTTCGCTGGAGAGCGCGAGTTCACTCTCTCGCTGGCTTTGTTTTGTATTGAGTGTGGGTAAAAAAAACATAGCCGAAAACAAAGCTCAGCAGACTGTGGCTAATTTTTCGCTAGAATTTGTATTCCCAAAATATTTATAAATAATGGTTATTGGAACTGATTTTTAATTATTTACAAGGAAAGTTTATTTGGGTGTGTGTGTGTGCGGATGATTAAGATTTTTATTTGTTTTTCTGTGAGTGTGTGGGCCGCGCTGCATCCCTGAGGTCGTCTACCTTTTTTTTTTTTGCTGCTACTTCTCTTTCGCTGCGATTTCGTCATTGTTCGAGATGCCAATGCAACTGTCTATATGTATGTGTATTTATGATATTTATGTACGTGTGTGTGTGTGTTTTCGTGTGGGTGGTGGTGTTTTTTTTTTCTGAGAATTTCCTCTGCATTTTAATCATCATAATAATAAACATTGCAATTTCTGTATTCTCTTCGGCTCTTCTGCTATCTGTTCGTATTGTGCTAGGTTAGCAATTCTTTCAGTGTTGTAAAGCGCTTCGCTTACCCATTCCCTTGGGCAATTGCAACTTGGTTCTTGGCTGTTTCCTACTTATGTTCACTGTTTATTTGCTTTTATTGAGAAGTCTAACTCTCTCTCTCTCTTTCTCTCTCTCCCTCTGAATTTTTCTCTGCCTTTCTTGCCTTTTTTATGCTTTGATTTCCGCTCGTAATCTATTAAGATATGATATTTTTACTGTCGGCGCTTCTCCATAGAAAATCTTATTAAGTCGCTTCACCTCATGCCACCAGATAAGCGCTCCTCCGGTATATATGTATGTACATATATACATATATATCTCTATGTATAATGACTAATTGAGTCATCGTGAGACGCCCACAGTTGAGATAATGCAATTAGACGCGGCAGCTACCTGAAGTCTGTTGTGTTATTCCAATTGGAGAGTGGTATGAGTGGAGTGCAGATAGAGGAGAATTCTTAGCTCACGTAATCTATGTCTATGTGTGCGTGAGTGTTTGTATGTGTGTGCTCGTGTATGCAATTGCCTTGCTTAACAAACAATTCAATAATGTTACCCTGTAATATATGCCTGTATATTTAAAGGGTATATATGTACATATATGTAGGAAGAGAATTTGTTTGTCAGGGTATAAAAATTTCAAGTATATATGGAAGTTTTAAATGTGTATAATAGTGTGTATAAAGGTATTTTCTAAGGTATATTCTTATTTTTCATTTTAAGTATATAAATATATGTATATTACATATATGTACGTATTTATTTAAATTTATGTATATCTTCAAGTTGCATTAAAATATATATATATATATATATATATATATATATATAAATATTAAAAGCTCTGCATAACTGTTAATTAAGAGTTCTTAGGAAAATTTAAAATTTCTTACTCAGAAAAACTTTTTTTATTTTTTTTTTTTTTTTACTGTTTTTTTTTTTTTTTTCTGCAAGGAGATAAGCATCAATTAAAGATAAATGCACACATAATTAAAGTTTAATTGCTGAATCATGAATGCTGTACAGCAGTAACTAATAAATTATTGAAGCTGAAGATACCCTATAAAAATTGCTAACTAAAGCAAAAACTAAAGTTTAGTAGAGATTTTCCTGAGATAAACTAAGAAATATGTGAGATATGAAATATGCTCGCCTTTTGGCCAGGGTATACCATATAATATAGACATATTTGGCTGTCTTTGGGCTATCTCGTGGAGCTTAGTCATTAGCAGCCAATCTGGCAATTAGGGCAGGCCACAGCAACAAAATGTTGCAGACTTTGATAAGTTTCGATGCGAAATCATAGAGAATAGACAAAGACATAATTAGGTAGGTAGCTGCTGGCCTTTAAAGTTGTTGGCCAATTGGTTTGGGCCAGGTATTTGGGCTTTAAATGATGAATGACCAAATTGCTGGCAAAGCTACATTTATTTATGTCTGTTGTGGCTGTTGTTGTTGCTGTTGTTGTTGTTGTTGTAGTTGATTATGAATCGATTTTGGTGTTGCGTCTGCCACCTGCGCATTTTGCATTTAATTTGCTAATTAAAATGTCTAGCTGGGCGTGTATATTGTTCACCTAAGTCGAAGTCAATAGCCTAATAGACTGAGAGAGAGAGAGAATGAGAGAGAGAGAGGGAGGCAGTGAGAGACGGGTCAAGTCCTGTGTGTGTGCCTGTCCTCTGTGGCGGCCACTCCTCGAGCTTTGCATGTCATTGGCTCGTAATCAGCGCTGAAGCGACATCCGTTCGCCGTTTGCCTCCTTTGGGGTTTTTTTTTGACCGGCGTTACGTTCCACTTGACCAGTTTCCTGATTGTATTTCCTCTGCCTCACTTCAGTCTAATTTGTTTAACAAATAGTTCTGCTGCTCAGCCCAATCTCTCTCTTCTCTCTCTCTCTCTCTCTTTCTACCTCTTTATATATAACCCTGTCTCTCTCTAGCTCTGCTCATTAATTAGCATTTTTACTCACTTTTCGAATTTCGATTTATTGTTTTTCGCTTAGTCTATTTTTTATTTTATTTATTTTTTATTTTTTTTTTTTATTTATTTTTTTTTGTGTTTTGTGTTTTTTGTGTAAACACAGCCCGAATTTCCGGACTGACATAAAGTGTTTTTCATTTGTTCACATCGATACTCTAGCTTTAAATAGCTGTTCAGGTATATTAGCTGCAAGTAGCAGCGGTTAACTAGATTAGATAAAGCACTGCGACTAGCTGGTCTAGATAATAGTAAAAGCGGCTTAAACTCTGATATCATTAATTTATAATTTCACTTTGACCCAGTTTTGTTAACATGTTGCTAACTCAGTTTTGCTGCCAAGTAAATTTTAATAAATTAATTAGAAACTTGTGTAATAATTTAAAAAAATTATTTTCATTTACATATTTGTCTAAATTTATTTTTATATATTTTGTCTTTTTTTTTTGCCTTTGTGGCTTTGGCTTAACAAAAAATTGTTATATAGAATTAATTCTTGATAACAATAAATAAATAATAAATATTATTATATAAATTTAAACTTCTCAGTTCTTAGACACTTTTCAAGCTAGTTTGTGTAGAGTTAAAGCCCTCTCTCTCTCTCTCTCTCTCTCTGTCTGTTCGCTCATTTGCTTTGTAGAGTATCTCTTAGTCGTTTCTCTTGTGCACTTTGTTTCATTAAATGTGTTTCGCTTGCCTTTTGCCCCCAGCTCGTCTCTCGTCTCGTTTGCCTCAATTAAAAACTGTGCTGCCCACATGTTATATACATATGTATATATACTATATCTCTGTCTGCTTTTTTCTCTCCATATTTTGTTGATACATTTTTAAGACGCCATAAAAGTCGAAAAAGATGACAATGTCAATGTCTCAACACTTGTGCTACTCGCTGTCTATCTCTCACTCTCTCTCTCTGTCTCTCTCTCTCTCTTGCTAGTGACCTCTAGGGCGGTGTGACAGCTGCAGATCCGCTGCTGGAATTCTTGTTGGTGGGCGCCTGGCCATCAATTATAATTCTCTGCTCGCATTTGATGTTTGCCTTTATCGTGGCGTATACTTGATGCGAATGTCTCGCGAGGCATTTTCGTTTCTCTGTTTGTTGTTGTTGTTGTTTTTGCTCTTGTTTTCTTTTTTAATTATGCACAATTGCCGCTAAATTTGTCGCGTTGCAGCTTCCGGTATTCAATTCTCGTTTGCCTTTGTGCTGGAGCCTTTCACTACTCGCCTCCACCTCTCTCGGCCCCGGCCCCGGCCCCGTTCCGATTCGATTCAATTTTCGATTCTTGTCGTCGCTGTCGTATTTGAATTGAATGCGGCAGCTATCAATGCAGCTGCCGCATCTCTGGCCCCCGCGCCTCGATACACTCGGTTCCGAGTCGTGCCTGGCGCGTTGGCTTTCGGATTATAATCTTTATCAATTTGGTTTTGGGGCTGTGTGGGACAGTTAAGCCCAAGTGTCTGTCATACGCGGCTCTGGTGTCGGTTTTTCGCAGCTCTCTCGGCATGTGTCGCCTCATGCCGCCAGCAGTCGAACGATCTGAGGTCTGGGAAAGTGTGTCGGCTGATTTTTTATTTATTTTTATTTATTTTTTTTTTTTTTTGTGGAACTTTCGCTTAATTTGTGACGCGGCTCAAACGGAATGACAACAGCTTTAAGAATATTGATGACGATGCGTGTGCCCGCGAGGCATTCGAGTTGACAGAAGATTGTTAAATGTCTGTGCCTTGGGATTCGAATTACGCGACTCAAGAATGTTAATTGAGCTGTCAGCATAGAAATTGTTTTTAGAGAAGCTTTAATGTGCTTGCAGGCATTAGCCATGGAGCTTTTATGATTATTCTATTGCTATTCTATCAAGTAGAATTCTGCTTAATTTCCTTTAAGCAATAATTCTTAGCTACAATAATATTACGCATGCAACATGTGGTCCCAATGGGCTTTCAAAACTTCTTATTTAACTGTTAGCAGTTCGAATCTCTAGAGTCTTTAAGTTTTCAGCTTCAAAATGCAAATTGTTCATCATTTCTCATAGATTATTACCGAATTGAAAACTGTTTGATCTTGAGCTACTTTAAACACATAAATTCCTTAGAATTTGTTTATTTTGTTTGCCACTCGCATGCCAAATGCTCTCAAATGCAGTTGCTATTTATAGGCAGCTCTTAATCATCTGATTAATATGCCATAAAAAACGCTCTTAAATAAACAAATTTCCGCTGAGTTTGACGCATTAATAAAAATTGAATTCAACTCTTGCATCCACATGTTCAGATATTCGTTTTGTGATATTGTAAATAAATAAAAAAAAAAAAAAAACACAAGAAAACACCAACAAAACTCAAGCACAATCAGTTTAATAAATTTAAAAGTAAAAACAAAAACAAACGCACAAAAAAAGAAAATAAAATAAAATAGCAACAACGAGTGAAATCAACGAAGGGCGTAAATTTTCAATAAATGATATAAAATAGAATCTGCAGCAATCAGTGATAATCAAACTAAACCAAAACGTGAAATCAGCACTTAAAGAAGAAGAAGAAGAAGAGTAAGAATATGTGATAAAGTCAAGTGTAAATCAATGTTTGTCATCACAATCAACAATAATAATCAACAATAAAAGTAAATAAATAATAAACACATATACACTACAAAAGGGGCCACACACGCATACGCACACATGTATATACAAACATACACATACATACGTACGCACAACTTGCATCTTGAATGTGTGATAAGGCCGCAAGCGTTAAGAACCGGTTCGAACCGGTCATAAATAGATGAGAGGCGGCGCAAGGACTCGCTACCACATTCGCATAACTGCCGTTAATTGATGAAACAAACTTCACAAATTCGAACTGTAAAGCAAAGACACAAAACAACAAAAATAATAATTTAAACAACAACAAGAACAGGAACGTTAAAAGCGACCTCAAAGCCACGCTGATGATGGGCTACATCATGGGTTGTGCTTGTTTCAAAGGTATGTAAAACTGTTGTGGGTGTGTGTGTTTGTTAAACAGTTATGCCACACACACACACACACACGGGCATTGGCTCTCACACACGCCCTCTCTCCAGCCTCTGGTTCCCTCTCTCTCATTTTATCATTTGTCAACTCTCATTTATGCGTTGGCATCGCGTTTCCTTCCGCTCATTAGCTTTGTTGTTGCTGCTGCTGTTGCTGCGGCTTCTTCTTCTTTCACTTTATTGTTTTGCCTTTTACGCACTTTCGCATTCTTCACTTGCAAAACGTCATTAAACAACGTCACAAAGTCAGCGTGCATGCGCACGTGCCAACAGTTATGCTCTCTCTGGCGTGCGCTCTCTCACTCTCACTCTCACTCTCCCTCTGTCACTCGCTGTTTATGGCAAACTATTCGCACTGTTAGTTAACAGCTTTTATAGCAGCGCAGCTTCGTGACAACAGGCTGGCAGGCAGGCAGCGTCGCCTTTTTTATTGCCCTGTAAAATCTCGTGTGAGTGCAAAATGCATGAGATTTGCCTTTGCCTTTGCCTTGCCCGTTACATTTTAGTGTGTGTGTGTGCGTGTGTGTTTTCTTCGCCATTTCTTGCTGTCGTCGCTTAAAGGATTTTTGAGTGCATATGTGTGTCTGCGTGTGCGTATGTGTGGGCAACTTGTGTATTGCTCGACAGCCTTTTGAGTGCAAAGTGATTTTTTCTGTTGTCTTTTGCACTTTTCTAGCGATTTGTTATGTGAGCTTAATAAGCTGCCAAGCTAGCTGCGGCGCTTTACAGTTATGCATATTGTATGTAGAATCATTTTTTTTCTGAAACCTAAATTTTGTATATGCAATTGGAGTTGTATAGTTTTATAAAGTGTTTGGAAAGTCAAAAATTCAATGATTAATATAAATATTTATGTTTAAATAAATGAAAAGATAATCTTATTTTATTAATTAATTATTAGTTAAATTATTTATCATTTTAGTTCGTATATTTATAAAATTTATTATTAATATAAATTACAATATTTTTATCCTTAAACAATTTTTGTTTTACTTATTAATTGCTCTATCATTATTTTAATTATTTTTTATTTCTGTATCAAATTCTCAGTGAACTACTTTGCTTTTTCTCTCAGTGCATACATTTTAACTTAATTTTGTAGTTTATTTTTTATTTTTACAAATTTCACATTAAATTGTTTGGGCCATACAAATTCCAGCAGCGTCTTACATTAACAGTTATTTTTTTACATGGTCGCAATGTCGCTGTGCCGCAAATTGTGGCACACACACACACACACACACACTAAAGGGAGCACATTGCAGCCTTTAACCTTTCACATTTGCGTGTTTGCGAAACTCACACCCGCAGCCCGCAGCCCGCGTCCCCCTCCGCTCCTTACTGTTAGTTAGTTTGATTCAATTGCAATTTGCAGCATCCGCATGCTGCCTATCGCAGGAAGCGTGTGACATAGAGAGAGAGCAAGAGAGAGAGAGAGGGAGTGAGGGAGAGGGAGGGCGGTAAAGCGGAGTGGAGAGTGGTTCTAGTGGTGCAAAGTGCAGCAGCAGCTGACAAGCGGCGCTAAGTGCTCTGCCCATTAAAGTATGCAATCGTTTTGCGGTTAACAGGATCACACTATGCACACACTCTTTCTCCCTCTTGCACTGTCTCTCTATTTGTCTGTCTCTTTCTAATTGCTTTAGCCCTCATATAATGCTGCCGGCGTGCCTTGGGGCATTTCCTTTGACAAGATTAACGATGCACAACGGCCCCAAGCACTGGCTGTCTCTCTGTCTTCTGCCATCTCTCTCGTTTTCTTTCTCTCTCCCTCTCTTTCATCTCTCAAATTTCTTTCATTCATAAACAAATTGGTGCCAATTTTTAGCTGCCCACAATTAAATAACAAATGCAAATGAAAATTTTATCCACAGCCAAGAGCGTCAGAGAACCACAGCAACACCCCAAGCATGCCCTGCTCTGCTCCCATCTCTGTCTGTCCCTCTCTATCTCTCTCTCTCTGTCTCGCCAACTATCGCTCTCTCTGTCTAACTTGCTCAACCGCCTGTGGGAGCGCATAAATAAATAAATAAATAAATAAACAAACGTTTAATTGAACCGGAAATTATTTTTCTGTGGGCGTCGATTGGATTTCTATTCATATGTGTGTGCATGCATGTGCGTGTGTGTGAGTTTCGCATTGGAATTTATAGTACACTTGTCGCTTTGTTGTTGTTGTTGCTGTTTTTTGTCTCAGCATTGCGATTTTGTTGTAGCTAAAAGGTTTTGCTTCGTTTCGACTGCGTGATATAATGCTGTTGCTCCATCTCACTCTCTCTCTCTCTCTCTCTCTCTCTCACTCTCTCTCTCTCTCTCTCTCTCTCTCTCTCTCTCTCTCTCTCTCTCTCTCTCTCTTTCTCACTCTCTCTCTGTGTCTCTCTCTCCCTCTCTTATTAAACTTGGCTATCTTAGAGCAGTTTTAGAAACTAGCTTATCGAATTTGTTTTTTGATGATGCCATAAAGCGATTCATTTGGATTTTCTGCACAGGAATTATCTACGTTTTCTTTTCTTCTTCAGTTTATAGAGTATTCAATGTTCGCTGTGGCAATTATAGAACTTTCGTTAGTCAGCTTCTCTTGGCTTTCTATTAATATGCAATGCCGCATTAGCAAGTTGCTCTCTGGCTGTGCGCTAAATTGACGCTAAAGCTCGTTATATAGCTGTAGCTGTAATTGTATATGTAACTGTGACTGTGACTGTTACTGTAGCTGTAACTGTAACTGTGAGTGTATCTGTATGTGTGTGTGTTCTATTCGCCTCGGGGCTCAGTATGCATATGTGCTGCTCGTTATGCCGCCGCCTCCTCGCTTTCGCCTTCTGTTTGAGTTAGTTTAGTTTGCATGTGTTGCTTGTCGCACACGAAAAACTTTGTAAACTTGATGTGGACTTTGCCTTAAATGAGCCGCCCACTTGTTGAATTAAATGTAATTTAACGGAGCACGCAAATCTTATGAAGTACTTGAGCTGCGTTTAAAGTGAGACTAAAAATTAGATTTAAACAAAGCGAAAATTATAGAAAGAAAATTAGATTAAAATAATAATAATAATAATAAAAACATAATTAAAATAAAATATATATGTTAACAAAATAAAAAATATCTTATAAAACAAAGTAAAATGATAATAAATAAAAAATAAATTAATTATGAAAAGATAAAGAAAAACAAAAAATTAAAAAAATATATATATAGTAAAAGCATATATAATAAAAATATATCATAATAATAAAAATGTATAATAATAAAAATATATAATAATAATAATAAAATGCAATAGAAATAAATAAAATAAATATAATAAATAAAATAAATATAATAAATAAAATAAATATAATAAATAAAATAAATATA